CATGTTGGCCACCTGCCTGTCATAGAAAAATCGCTTCCTCCTTCCTGGTTGGAAGGCAGCTCTAATGAGTGATGGGCAGCCGCGTTCACAACCGCGGCAGCTCTTTGCATAGAAAACAGGCAGCCGCAGCGACCCACGTTGCCGTGCCCCTCCCTTTCTCCCCCTTCCATGTGGCAGGAGGTCCTACCTCCTCCTAATTGCTCAGCCAAGTAATTAACTGAGGCAGATTGTGGCTCTTGGCTAGGCTAGCGGGGCTGCCACCCTGCTCTGCCCACGGGAGAACCCCATGGCAGCCCAGCTACCAGGGTTTGAAACCCCGCTTCGTACCCCCTGCCCTCACCGCTCCCTTCCGACTCCAGCTGTGCCTGCCTTCGCTGCCCATCTCCATCGCCCAAGGGATTGCGCCGCGGGAGACCAGAGAGCTGGCAACGCCTTCCCTGCCTGCCTGTCCCATCCAACAGGCACCAAGCCAGCTGTACCAGTGCCTGTGAGACTGAGAAATGCACCCCTGGTGCGGGAAAGAGCCCATCTACCTCTGCCCTGCAAAAAGGGGCGCAGCAGCGGTCACTCCGACACCTCCAAGGGCATGGGGCAGCCAAGATGCGTAAGTCACTGCCGGGGAATTCTTTGACACCCTGTTCCAAAGGTGCTGTCTCACCCCGGTACCCTGGAAATGTCCTGGATATGACACGCAGCAGGGAGGAAAATACTGCAGCCTTAATCCTTCATTTCCCTCGCCTCAAACCATGGCAACGCACAGAGGGAGAACCAAGCATGTGGGAACCAGCCAGCCACCCTCCAGCCCTGCACATCCCCAGTGCATCCTGCATCTCTCCCTGCAGGACGGCCTCAGCCTCCCTACCAGCCTGCGCTCTCTGCCCAGGCAGGGCAGATCCAAGTCACCCTGGGAAGCTCTCCTTCCATCCCTTTGTCCTGCTGTATCCGGGTCTTTCTCTCCAATCTGGCCCCTCCAGTCCCCACTTCTTGGATATCACATAAGCACAGCCCAACAGTCTTTACAGCCTTTCAGGTCACCCTTCCAGACACAGAATTTCTGGCCCTTTACTTTGTAGGGCAGCACCTTGCAGCCATTAATAATTTTTGTTGGCTCTCCCCAAAGCCCCCTATAATTTACCGGCATCTGTCCTGAAACACGGCTTCCAAAGAAGGCCCAAGCAATTGCAAGATCCCTTAAGTCCATCACATTGGGATCTCCCTTCTCACATGCTTGGGACTCACTTTGTCCCTCCTGGCCCTCTTTATGACCCCTGATTTGTTTCACTGCCAACACAGTCCTTTATAGTAATTAAAAGAAGGTGCTTGGTTCCCTGCAGAGAAAAAAAAACCAAACCAAAACCCTACAACCACAGTGCAGAACAGGAAAGGGGAAGAGTCCCACTTTTACCACGCTGCAAAACGTGTCGCTGCTCCAGCCAGTAACTCGGCGACAGGCCCTCACGCGCTCACCTGCATGGAAGTACGGGCTCATCGTGTACGGGAATCCGAAGGGCAGCGGCTGAGGTGGTGGGATGGAGGCTGGCGGGAGATATTTCACCTCGTTTTTGTTGATGCCCGGGCCAAGCAAATGGCTGGGGGACTCGGCGCTCGAGGAGCTGCAGGGGGCATTTTGGCCAACAGCCGCTTCACCCAGCTCCTTGGCCCCTTCGCAGACTTTCCCCGTCTCTTTGCACTCTTTAAGCTCAGCAGTTGAGCTGCTGCTCTCAGCCTTCAGGCTCTCCGGCTTCTCGTCACTCACATCCGCGTCGCTCTCAGAGTCCTTCATCTCCTCATCGTTACAGTCTGGTGCCCCATCCCGCACCCGGGGCTCCGCCAGCTCCTTGGCCTCGCTCAGCCCCTGCGGCTCAGCGCGGTGATGTGTCGATTTTCGGTTGCCCCGCCGGGGCTGCTCCTTGGGCGGTGTGGCACTGCTGGGGACGCTGGGGTTGAGGGATAGCAGGGGAGTGTTATTGTGCCGCAGCACCAGCATGGCGTTCCTCCGGGAGAGCTCCTCCCGCAGCGGGTGCCCCTCGGGGATGTCGTGCACGTTACGCAGGGCCGGGTGGTCTGGGGGCAAGCCGGGATGCAGGCTCAGCGGGTCGCCAGCCAGTAGCCTTTGCCTGTGGAGATTCTCCAGTTCCTTCTGGCGGATGATCTCGGCCGACATCTCCAACCTAAATTGGGAGAGACCGAGAGGGAATATCGAGGGGGGGCTCTGCGAGTAACTTGCTAATCCCCAGCCGGGCTGAATCAGAGCTTGCACAATCCAGGTGTCACCTCCACACCCGCACACTGCTTCCACCGGTCTCACCCGGAGACCACTCTGTTGCCCGTGCACAGCTCATCCCACACAGCACCCCACGTTACTCTGCCTGCTGCTAGGAAAAGGAAGGAAAAATCCAACCCAAGCCCAGGCAGGCTGGCCCTCTACACTCTTTACCTTGCCAGGTTTTGCTTTCGTAGCATCTCTTGCTGCCGTGCAAACATCTCTGCTTGTGCTGGCTGTAGGAACCCATAACCTGGGGACAAGGAGAACAATACTACGGGGTTATTAATCTCACCATTGACTCTTGGCTAGCTCAGGGCCAGCTCCCCAGCGGGCTAACTGAGCAGGAAAGGGCAACTGAGAGCTGTGTTTCTGCTCTGGAGCCCATCTATTCCCTCACTCCCAAGGCAGTGCAGCCTCTGCTGCTGAGCCATGGGTCCAGGTGGGGATGAAGAGAGCAGCCAAGGCAACCCGCTCCTATCACTGCAAAACAAGGGTGAAGTCAGCACAACAATAACGGGGAAACACAGAAAATGTGTCTGGGCTCTTTGGCTAAAGGACAGTTTGTCACAGCCTGCACCTTCACCCTACCCACTCCCCCCGGGTGACTGCAAACATTTCTTGGGCACTCACCTGGTGTCTGGCACAGAGCTGAAGGCACCCCGAGGAAAGGTGGTCTCAAGTGGGGCCCCAGGGCAATATGAGGTGCATTCTGGGGTGAAAGCAGAGGCGGTGGGTGGGATATCTCCCTGCAGAAATCAGAAAATGAATTCATGTTGAAAACCTGGAGACTCCATCCAGGAGGGATGCCCAGAGGGCCCCGGCTCAGGAAAACACCCTTTCTGCAGATCACCTCCGTTCTGTACCAGAGGCTGTTCCGAGACACAGATGCCTATTCACCCATATGCAAAACTTTTAAAAGGGAGAGGAAAAAAAGAAAAGAAGCAGGACTCCAAAGGTCCCACGTACTTCCCACCTTGATATGTTCGCTTCTGTGGCCTTTCAGCTGGGCTGTTCGAAGGGGTTTTGGGTGCCCAGGGCCAGCAAAGGCTGAAGATGCTGCACCTGCCTCTCCTCTTAGCAAGCTTGGGTTGCTATCTCAACTACCTTACAACTGAAAAGGCATTCTGTATTTTGGGAGCTGGAGAGCAGGTCTGAAAAGATCTGAAGGCATCACTGGCATGCCTTGCAAAAAAAATAATCACTGTCCTAGCCGGGACAAGGGGTGATCTTTAATTCTGGAGAGAAAAGCTATGAGTGAGGCAGAGAAAGACGCAGACAGGAGAGATGGGGAGAGGGATGTGAGCAGGAAGGGCCACAGGGTCCATGGAAAGGAGTGCTCCTGGAGAAGGGGTGTGTGACACTGGCCGGAATGGGGCAGAAAAAAAGGCAGGAAGAGAATAAGAGCCAAGGTCTCTTCCATTAGTCAAATCTGCCCTAGGAGCCTGCAAGCAAATCTCTGCCTTCCGGCTGCACGTCTCTTAATTCCTTTTGATGGCCACTTACAACATTATTACCTTCACCAGGGCATCTAGAGGCAAAGCCAAGCGCTGTGCCATTTATTTTCATTCTACAACATCTCCCTATAAAATCTGCTTCAGGAGAGACTGGAGGGCAAGAGAAAGGGAGCAAGAAGGCACAGGTGACTTCACGACAAACAGTCCATACACACGACCACGCTTCCCCTTTCAGTGGGGGGACGACACGCGAGTGGGGGATAATGTGGGAATCCCAGCCATCCGTGTCCCCATCCCACAGAGCTGGGGATGGATCGCCCCCATGGCTCGTGAAAAGCCAGACAAGGACTCTTTGGGGATGAGGTGGGCAGGGAAAGGATTCCTGTCCTTTCCCTCGATCTTCCCAGCATAGTTTTATCCTCATTCTATGCAACAGCCACTACAAAACCCTGCCACACACCAATCCACAGCACAGAACGGGCTGAGATTCCCCTCCGAAATTCCTCCTTCTCCCTACCCCCTTGCTCATCTGCCTCCCCCCTCCCCATCTGTCTCTCCTCCCCTTCTCCCCTTCCCCTGGCTGTCTCCATCTCTCCCTTCCTCCTCCTCCTCCTTCCTCCCCTAGCTCTCCTCTAAACTAATTGCACAGCTCGCTGTGTCTGGAGGAGAGCCACAGATCGATCCGTCGCTGTTGAAATGTTAATGCTAATCGTATAACCGCTCCGCCAGCACCTCACACTTCGGTGGCAGCTCCAATTAATCTCAGGTAACGCAGCGCGTGACCTTCGGCTCGGAGCCGGGGCAGCAGCCAAGCGATGCTTATGTAATTACACCATGAAGTGTGTAATCACCTGCCCTAATCCCCGAGGCCTCACAATTAGCCGAGGCCTCGGTCGCTGGGCTGCCAAGTGCTTTGCCACCCCGGACAGCCTGCAGATGAATAACGGACAATTAAAGCGGCATGACGGGGGCTAGGAGGTGTCCGTTCGATCGTAATTAGCTGTAATCATGGGGAGACGAGCCTGGCAGACGTGCTGTTCGTTTTATAAGAAGCAATTTAGGAAATCAAGTCGCTTTTAACCTCTCCATGGCCAGGCAAGCAGTGGCCGTGCCCTCCCTGCCTTTTATACGCGCAGAAAAGGGGATCCTGTACGAGAGGTAGCGACGCGCCGAAGCCCCAGGTGCAGGATGCACACAGAGAGCTCCGAAGGAAACGCTAAAAACAAAGAGAGCTCCTCGATTTCAGCCAAGAGGAGACAATCTGTGCCCAGGAAGCATACTGTTTGATGGGGATCAGGACTAGGCACTGGAAAATAAAAGGTTCTCCCTTTGGTGGCAGCCCAATGTTAATCAGAGGCTATTTTTATGCTTTAACGTTGTACTGCAGGGCCTAACTTTGATCCCTAAGGAATTCACATCTGCTCAAGACCCCGCGGTTCATTCCCTCTGTCCTCCCATCAGAGCTGTGCAGCTTCCCTGCCTTTGGGGGCCAGGGATCAGCTCATACTTCGGAGCGGCCGGTGAGCAGTGTCCCGGCTGGGGAAGGGGGATGGCAGGACGAAGCGACTGCTGCAGGACCGGGTGACGCTGGCAGGCACGGGGCCGAGGACAGCAGCCTGCGATGGCTCGGAAGAGGCTGGGGTAGTCGTGAGAGGGGCTGTAAGAAATGCACCAGGAGCGGCTTTGAACGTGAGAGGTCAGTCGGTGCCTGTGTTACACACCCAGCACGTGCTGGGGATGTGTCCAGAGATTCAGAGAATTCAGGGAGACACCTTTACACATGCTGTCATCACTCCTGCCTGACACAGCAGATGCCATGGAGACCCCCAGAGCTGTTCTCTCGGCAACACTGGAGCTCTCCACCAAACACACGCATGGGGCAAAGCTGCCGGGTGAGGCCAGACAAAGAGGACCAAGCCAAAGGTCCCGCGACGGCACTGTTCCACCCGTGGAGTCTGTGGCCTAAAGTCAGGGAAGGGAGGCTGCATGTGGCCAAACACGAAGGAGTCATTGCACCTCTCCTGTCATGCCCCTAACGCTCAGCATCAGTCTCCTGCAGTAGAGACCTTAGAAAGAAAGCAGGTATGCTCATAAATATTCAGGGGATAAGGGATTCTTCTCCTGCAGGTAGACTGATGCTCCCTAGCTCATGGTGCAGAGCCCCAAGGAGCTGGGCTTCATACCGCCTGCCTCACCACGAAGGACAGACGCTTTCTGCCATCCCACAAACCCAACCTCCTGCTCATCCAGGCGTGGAACCTGTTGGAGCCTGCAACTGCTTCCTTCCAGCCCATCTGCCTGATCCTCGGCATGGAAACCTGGCATGGGAAGGAGGGAGTACGACCAGGTCATGTCCTGGCACAGAGCTGGGAAGCCCTCCCAGGCCGCCTGGTACAGATACAGCCAATTGCTTCCAAGCACGCTTGGAAATGAAGTGGCAACCCCGGAGTAAAAAGCCCCGGAGACCTTAACAAAGGCTACTGAGCTTTTAGACAGACATGCAGCAAAACACAAATCCTTGCATCCTTTCTCAGGTACGTATCAGCCTTCAACCCCCCCCTTAATTTCCTTCCTCCTCTTCTTCCACCTCTCCGAGTAACGGGCTGAATTACAGCCCCATACTCTGAGACTGTGAATTTAGCCCTTGGCAATTACATCTGATAAGCCTTGTCCTTACCTTGCAGAGAGCAACTCTGTGTTACTGCATATTCTTTCCCCCACCCCCCCTTTTCCCCCACCCCCCAACCTCCCCCCCCTTTTTCCCCCCCCCCAATATGCCAGCTGGAGGCTTGTGAGCAGGGTGTTAGGGGATTTGCACTGCATGCTGCTAAATTTGATATGTCCTTTAACAGGAGACAAATGGTTCACAAGGCTTAAAAAGTATCGACTTTTCTTTAACAATAAGCACTAATGGCCTTCAAATAATCAATATTTAAAGTCATTATGGGGTTACACATTATACTGTTAAAACCAAGCCTTTCGCTTTAACCCCATCATATCCTACCAAGACCAGAGCAGTTCTCCCCCCGACTCACTCCAACCTCAAAAGGAAGGCTCGGAGCACCGGCTGCGACTGGAGATGTGAGTGGGTCAGGAAATGCAGATTGAAACCGGCAAGGCATGGAAATAAATTTAGATTGGGGGGGGGGGGGGGGGGGGAAAAGAATGCATGAAAGCTCTGCTTTCTTCTGCTTCGCGTTTGATAGGAAGAGACACTTTAAACCTGAGGTAATAGGCAAGCAGCACACAGCTCCTTGCTGGTTTGCCAGCCGCAGACACCGTCTGTGCCAGGAAGGGAAAATAAATAAAATGAAAGGGCTTTCTAAAAATGGTGTTTGGGATTTCCAGGCAGAAAGAGACATGTACTGGCGCTGCCCTTCTAGGGCGGCAGCGAGGCCTGGCCACAGAGAGGGTCTGGTTTATGCTGCCAGGGGAAACGGCTCCCTCAAAATCCAAACTGGTGCTAAAACCAAATCAGCTAAATCAGGTCAAGCTCCTTGGCCTTTGCTCTGCCCAACTTCCAGCCAGCTGGGATCTGGTGAGGAATCCTCCCACTGCAAAAATCAGAGAAAGAGGGATACAGCATTCAGAGCAGAGAGAGGGATGCAAGGCTGGGGTAGGTAAGGGCAGGAGAGAGAAGGTGTCCAGAGAGGACAGGAGAACGTGCCCAAGGAGCCAGGATTGAAAAGGAAAGCCTCCACGGTGCAGGGGGGAGGAATTAGATGGTAAAAGAAAAAGGGTAGCAACGGCAGATGGAAAGAACGCAATCCAAAAATCCTTGCTAGGTATCTCAGACGCATCTTTGCACAGAGAAAGGCCTCTGGCTGATGCACGACGTTTGTCAGCTCTCTGCAACGGCAGGGCAATGAGTGCGTCTTTGAGGCCCTCTGGCTCCTGCTCCCAGCACACTCTGGAGCCAAAGGGCTCGGCTTCCCAGCACCCCAGCAGATCAGGATGCTGATGGCATCTCACGCAGGCAACATTTCTTGCTCTTTGGCATTCCTCCTGCCTTCACCCCGTAATTGCCTATGGTCCTGGAAGATGAACCATGTCCCTAATGCTTCTTATAGGCAGTACCAGAGACAGCTGAATGCTATTACCAAAATACCCGCCTCAACACTTGCCCTTTCTCTGACTATAATGTGCCTTCTCGCCCTCCTGTGAGAGCGGGGCAGGGTCCCCCACACAGACCCCATGCCGTATACCGAGCAAGCTCCTAGCAACTCCTAACGCAGAACTGATGCATCACATTTAGCCACCAAGCTTCGCCACGCCGATCACACTGTTAGGCGGCTCGGCCAGCCTAGTCCGAGCACCC